TGAATGTTATGTTCTAATTGGTTCTTTATTAGAGTTCATACATTTATAGTATGGACTCAACTATACTAGAATAGAATGTTATCCAATTTTGCACCTTTATTCAAGTCCATACGTCTCTCTCTCTCTCTCAAAACTCATGTTCATCTATCTGGCCACACACAAAAAGCTGTGCAATCAATAGTACTCATATTGTAGTAGAATTACTAATTCCAACCCTTGATCACAACTCGATCTAAATAAGGCACATAGTTCATAGATGTGCTAGAAGCTTGAACCTGATTAATGCAGCACACCTGTAATTAGCAACATTCTTTCGCTTGAGAAATGTGCTTCAAAACAGTGCTTATCTTGATATATAACTTAAACAAATTGTGCAATATGAAAGATGTATACATGTATACTTTCTTTAATGCTTGTGTGTTGTAGATTCAATGTTCTAAAAATCGACCTAGGCGCTAGGCGGAGGTGTGCCGATGCAATTAAGTTCGAATCGTTAAAAATCGAGGAGCTGTTAGGCGTCCACCTAGGCGTCTCTTAGGTGGCTTGGGCGATCTAGGCGGTTATCTAGATGGAGTGAAATGGTTTCGTGGGAAGAAATTCCAAATAGAAACCCAAAATCGCAAACTCGAATTTAAACTTGAAAGTAACATGCAAAGCATGGGTTAAGCTACCTGAGTTTCTAACAAGGACTAATTCGAGCTCATGGGACCCCAAGTTACGGGTCCCTTGCTAGAGCTCCACGCCAGAAGCTTAATTTTCAAAGGTTGTAGCTCGATTCCATTAGAGCAACTCTCACCGAGAACCCCTGCTTGGATTCTCCTACTTTCCATTACATAATTTAACATGCAAAGGTACCATAGGGATCCCCAGGTTGCGCAGGTCTTGTATTTGGTGGTTTGGGGTCTCGATTTAATTGGAATTTATGGTGATGGTGCCTGGAGCTCTCTTTGGCTATGGTGGTTTAGAAAGAAGGCAGAGAGTTTGAAAGGAAAGAGAGAGAAGAGAGAGAGAGAGAGAGAGAGAGAGAGAGAGCGAGCGAGCTGTAATCTTTAGAGGAAAAGATGGTTTTAAGAGAAGGCAGAGAGTTCGAAAAGAAAGAGAGAGAGAGAGAGAGAGAGAGAGAGAGAGAGAGAGAGAGAGAGAGAGAGAAAGAGTGAGAAGAGAGAATCGGTTTTCAAAAACAAAAATGATGGTGATGTGTGAGTGATGATAAGAATTGGTGGTTGAGTGTGTAAGTTTAAAGAGAAAGGGAGAAAGTGACGTGAGGGTGGGGTGTGTGTGTGTGTCAGAGGGAAAGAGAAAAGTTGTGTGAGAGGTGAGAGAGAGATAGGACCGGTTGATATGAAATGGGGAAGGATGCATGCTTTGACCGATTTTGGTGCTCCAAAGTTAAAAGTGTCACTAAGCCAGTTAAAATCATAAATAAAAGACACATGCTCTGACCGGTTTTGGCTCCAAAGTTCAAAGTAGGACACAATAAAATCATAAATAAAAGAGAGAGGATTTCGGGGATGATACCAATGGGCGTGGTTTCATTAAGGGATAACTGGCATGGCTTTCTAGTAGTTTTATTATTAACCACCCAACCCATTACTTCAGATTTTTACTTTTATTTTTTAAAAATTTGATATAATCATTCAAAATGTCTTAAATTTTATGGCATATATGCTTAATGTGTTTTTAATTTTAGACTTGTTGGATACTATTTTTGTATTTTATCATTCTTTTATTATCTTATCCATGGATTTCATATAAGTATAACTTTTTATGTGTTAATATGCATTTATTTACAAGATATACAAGAAATTAACCTAAATCCGCCTAGAGCGCCTAGGCGCCCGCCTAGAATCCGCCTAGCCGCCTAGGTGCTAGCTCGCCGTCCGACTAGTGCCTAGCGTTTTTTAGAACCTTGTGTAGATTGGTGCTACTGTTGCATATGGTCAGACAAATCTCTCTATCTCTGACTTCCTTTGCTGTTGTTTTTTTTTTTGTGGGTGAACTTTTTTGCTGCAGGTTTGTTGCTTTTTTTGCCGTAGTTTTGCTTTTGCTACTATTTTTCACTACAGTTTTGCTGCAGGTCCATTGATTAATGTACGAGGAAAATGAGATTGTCTTATGCGTAAATAGGTGAAAATTTAAAATTGTAATTTTTTTTTCTCAAAAAACCAAACTGAAACTGTTTGAAACTGCACCGAACCGAATCAAACAGTTTGATTTCATTTCGATTTTGACTTCAAAACCGCACCGAACTGCACCGTAAAAAGTTTAGGTTTTGGTTACGGTTTCACTCGAAACCACACCAAACTGCACCGCACCACCCCTACACCAAACTGTCATATTTCAAACTTTTTTTTTAATTATAATCCAACGGCTGTGATCAAATAAGATCAAATCTAACAGCAAAAAAAAAAAAAAAAAAAAATTGATTTAAATCTAACGTCTAAAATAATTTAAAGAAAATTTTCAAATCAAATTTCACTTAAAACTTTATAAATACCCTTGTATTTGTATGGTTTTTAATTATTTATCAGAATTTAAATATTTTTAGATTAACACGTTCACCATATTAAATTAGGATAATCTACATAAATTTTATTTTCAAACAAGTTACTGAAACGAAAATTAGGCTAAAATCATTATTTAATAATCTCGGGCTAAAATTTTAATACATAACTATTGAAGGAGAAAAGCAGTTTCTGGATTGTAGACTAAAATTTTCCTAGCTTAAATTTTAAACTATATTCTCAAGGGTTGGAGATGGTCTTGGAAAAATGAAAGATTGGGAGAGCATGACTATATATTAAGCAACTCATTGATTGGAAATGATTTTGGAAATTAATTGGGTGTTCTGAGAAACTGTTTGGAGTGCACCGTATCACTCCTCCAGTTTTGATTGGGTTTATGTTTGGACTACTAATTTGTAATGTCCATGAACTACAAAGCCCAGAAAGAATAAGCCCTGGCATCAAACAGCCCTACAGATATTATGTCCAACCATACTCAAATAAAAAATCATTATTTTATTGTTTGTCAAACTTCTTTCTTTTTTTGGGTCGAGAATCATGTAACCATTATTATACTATAGTATCCTTCTACAGTTGTAAGTGAGAGTTCCCAGATTCGACTCTTATAATTTTACGAATGACGAATTAGATACCTAATTATGTTGTCAATTATATACGGCTTTGCCTAAATCTCTCAAAAAGGAGAAAAAGCCAAAGAATAATCATTTAGCTGCACAATATGTAAATAATTCTAAAAACAATCATTTATTTTCACTAGGAGTTTGCTTGAACTAAAAGATTTCAGATCGACAAAATTTCTATGTATGGTCATTGAAAACCACACATACACATGCATGAACGACATGAATCTGATACATGAAATAAGCATGCAAAATATTGTACATAAAGTGGACTATAGGGACATTATCCTCTCCCTAAACTCAAAAGCAAAGACCACAATATGAATTCCTTTGGAATAAAGGGCGGTCTCATTTTTCGCCCAAAGTTAGGCAGTTCTCAACTACAGACAAAGACTCTTCAATCCTCCCCAAAACTCCACATTCCTTTTCACCCTCTAGACAGTTTTTCTTATGCACCCACACGTTGATTAGGACACAACCCTGAAATGTCCAAACGAATCTAACCCTACAATTAAGCTGCATTAATGGCCATCACTATCTTACTCATCAAATATGGTTCTCGATATTTCAAGAAGAATGCGATACGCTTGCTCGTCCACGCTTGTATAGTTGATTTGAGACAGCTGAGGCACTAGATTTAAACATGTGTTCGCTTCTGATGATAGCGCAACTCAATGTGCAGAAGATGTATACACATTTAGGGACCCAATGGATAGTGTTGAGGTGTAGGGGCATCACATCAAAGGTCCGGTGAGGACTCGGGGGATTTTCGGTCTACTGATTTTGAACTCAAAAGGTGTCTGTTTCTACTTTATCCCAACCCAAAGCCTAAGCGAAAAGCCCCCTTTGAATACAATGAATAGTGTACAATTTGGCAACCTCTCCAAATGGAATAAAAAAGGAGAAGGTGGAGCAAGCTTTACAGCCCATCATTCTTCTAGTTTTGTAGGAGATTGATTAGTTAGCGAGTAACGTTACAGATACTAACTATATAAACTAAATTCTGTAAATTAAATGGCATAAAATTTAATGATTAGATTATTACTTAAGTGTTGATTAATGTAGTTATTTTTTATTAGTGACACATCATTTAGTTTTCAAATTTAGTCTACCTAGCATCATTCTTACTTAGCAGATCAATACGGCATTCTTTTATTACCATGTACCACTGAATACACCTAAGGCTTAAGGTCTACGCCCAACCTACTAAAAAAAAACTTGTCATGTTACGTGCTAGGTTGTGTGATAAGTAAAATTAAGAATAATTATTGTAGCAATGTTATATTTTGATAACAATTATAATAATAATTATTATAATTTGATGTCACTTGAACTCAAGAGTTGCTGAACTTTAAACGTAACACAAATCTAACAAGTTATTAAACGACTGGCCAATACAAGTTCTATACCTCTACGTGGCAAGAAGTCCCAGCTCGAAACTCGTCCGAAATTACATGATCATCTTCAACTCCTATGATTACTCCCTACATGGGATCTTAGTCTCCTTTACTTCTTACTTCTTTGTCTTTCTGTTTTGGCCAGATTTCAAGCCCTACTTCCTTAATATGTTTAAAGCATAACTGACAACATTTGTTTAAAATTAGATGTTTATGACTTTCTAATCAACCTTTGCTTGTAGTCAAACTTCGTGACTTTTTAAGGAAAAGAAAGAAACAAACAAAATCACCCTTCCTCTAAGTCATCTCTTTGCCATGAGATGGGACAGTTTTGGTTGTAGGAATTAGGTACGTCCGCAAGCGGTTTGGCATAATGTTCTTGACCAAGTAATTCAATTACGCATCGTGAATTCGACTTGCAATCGGTTGAATCAACGTGACATTATTGCTAAAATCCATAAGAGTAAATAATGTGACATTCGGTTAAATCAGCGTAACATAATGACCAGAATGCACAATATGGCAAAGTGATGTGCCACCCAAAGCACATTCTTTGCTTCTCTTTTTTCTACAAGAGCCAAGAGGCATAGATAGGATTTTCAGCCCAAACACAATCCCATACATCTCCGCACGCCACTTGGGTCCCTACCTACCTCGACAGAAATTACTGAAGCAAAATTTCAGATAAGTCGCACAATACAAGTCTACTGCAAAATACAAACTTCAATGGTGGATTCTTGAGATTAAAATTCCTCTTTCTTCAGTTGAATGCAGAGTCAAAGTGGCATCTTACCTTGCTTGCTGCTACGAACTGAAAACAAATCACCATTAGTTTAATCATAATCACTAAACGGATGCACAACCAAATGCTAATTTAATTAATAAAGACCAAGTTGAGTTTATATAATGAATTAACATCGAACATACGACGAAGTGCAGACAGTTCAGAGCTCTTGAGCACACGCAGCCTCTTCACGGTCGACACAAACATCCTGCAAATCAAAGATCAAGGAGCAAATTACACAACATTGTTTAATGCCGCTTACGGCAGGAGACAATATTACAAATTTCAGGGGCAAAATGACACGATATGATGGAGTTGCGGGAATCATTACATTAAGAAACAACAAACAAAAACAGTACGCTGATTTTTATGCATAAAAAAGAGAAGCATATATTGTTTAAAGATCAAGGAATCTAATTCTGCATGATTTAATAAAATGGTGAGATTAAAACTGAAATCATATCAGCAAGTGTTGGAATATAATATACATGAGGAAGTGAAAGAAAATAATATAAATTTGCATCAGATTCGCAGAGATGATAAGATGCTTACTGCCATGGGACATCCCCAACGAGCATCCTGTCTCCTTCATTATCTTCATAAACTAGGGTATATTCTCCACTTCCATCCAATAAACCTGTGATTTCTTTCTCTTCCCCTGTCTTGTTCTTGGTTCCACCAGCACAGGAATCTCTTTGAGCTAAACATAAGAGCGCACAAACGACAAACACGATTGCGTATAAATAAATAGGATGTATTTTCATGAAAAAGAATCCGACTACCCCATCAAAACAAATTGTGGTAAAAACCAAAACACTATAAAATTTGTGTTGGTAAAATGAATTTTGACCATATGAAGAATACACTTACCCAAATCATACTCTCTCTAACTAATTAAAAATACTAGGAATAAGTTTTAAACAGTAAATTAACAATGTGGCTACAATAATAATTAATTAGTCAAGATTAATTATGAGATTTACCTGCGAGAAGGTCACGGAAGAGTTCATCGACAGCGGAGGAGAGCTTTTGGTAGCTGTCATGGGCACTGAGGTCCACTTTTCTTCCGATAGGAACTCCATCCATGTTAATTTTCACAAACAGACCCTGTCTGCTGGTTTCAACTGGTTTACCACTAGGAACTTTGTTTTGGACAACATTTTCGGATTCAACCGCAGGTTTCGATGAGTTGTTGCTTGCAAGATTTTTCCTAAATGATCGAACTGGAGGCCAACCCACAACCGGAGCAGGAGCAGTTCTGTAATTTTTTTTTTTTTTTTTTTTTAAGGATATCAAAACAGAAATAATTAGCACAAATTAAGTTTTCATATATTAATTCATAACAAAATTCTTATACATAAATTCTACAAAAGACATTAAGAACTAAATAATAATGTGATAATGTAAGAGATAATATCTAGGCATTATTGAGGTAGATTTGGCAAGAAACAACGACAGAAAAGCCAAAAACTTGCATGAAAATGGAAGAACAGACGGTATGCTTGGACAGACCCTAAAAGAAAAACAAGCTTGACTATGAATAAACAGAAAACAAAAAAAAAAAAAAAAAAAAAAAAAAAAAAAAAAAAGCAAACTGTCTCACAGGAAAGACTACAGAAAAAGCAAAATAATTTGAAACTTCAACAAAAATGAAAAAAATAATTTAAAAAAAAATAGAAATATTATGCATGGACCACAACTTTGCCTAGTCTAGCTCCTAGCAGTGAGAACCTGTGAGTGAATATCCTGTCTGAAAAAAATAATAATAACAATATTACACAAGAAAGTAGAAAAGGCTGGATTACCTTTTCTGAGAGGTGTTGGGGAGCACAGCTGTGTCTGCAGGGGCTGGTGAAAACCCTTTCCTTTCTGCATTCTGCAAGTCTACCACTTTACTGCAACAGGGCTGTGACGCTTTGTTGGAGTTGACAGGCAGGTGAACAAAAGATCCGACTTTTGCCTGCTGCTGGTAAGAAGAAATAAGTTTCTGGGTTTGGTTGGAGAACATGGGGGAAGAAAAGTACCCAAGAGAGAGAAGGGACTGAGACTTCTCATCTCTTTCTCTTTCCATTGACCAGTCTTGGCATGGAGGGCCAAGCCTGAGCTCAAGCTTCTTCTCCTCTGAGGAGGAGCTTCCATGGCTGGTGCCTTCAATATCTCTGTTCATAAGCCAGTCTCTCTGTCTAGGAATTAAATCTAGGAGCTGCGGACATGCCTCCTCCTCCTTCCTTGTACATCCCTCCATCTCAGTGACCATATGTAAATACTCTGTTTTGTGATGACCCTAGTGAAAAATTCAAATCTTTTTACTTTCCCTTGTACTTTTCACACACCAGAAGTACAAATTGAAGGAACTGCACTGAGAAATGGAACAAGGGGAAGTTAACAAGCGTGGGATAAAATAGAAACCACTTTGATAAGAACAAGGAAAAATGGAAGAGAAAGGGAGAACGGGGTTTTACCCTATAAAAGCCATTAGACAAAGCTCTAAACTTTGAAGGCCAACATCCTCATGTCCTCAAATTGCCCACTTGGTCTCACACACCTTTGATATCAAAAGATCTAGAAGAAACAAACACAAAGGAAAACCCAAAACCTCACAAGGGAAGAGAAAATATGAAGAAGAACAACCAAACTCAAAGCACAAAAGGGACAGGGAGGCTAAAATAGGGAGGGGATTGATGTCTACGGGGTTTTTTTCTCTTTAAATTTTGATGTAGGCTTCAGTGGGTTCTTTCTCTTCTTTTCTTTTTTCCTTCTCTCTCTCTACTTTTGGAACTCGTGGGGTGTATGAGTAGTTGCTGTGAGAGATTTTTATAAATAGAGATGGAAACAAAAGTGAAAAAAGATGAGATGGGCAGAGAGATTCCCTCCCCCCCAAAAAAGAACCCCAAAATAGAAAACAGAAATTAGAGCAAACGCACGCAACCACAGCCCCTCTCTCTAAAAACATAACGTAGTAACAGGAGGAGGAGGTTGTTCAACTCAGGAAGCAAAGCGTGCTGTGCTGTGCTGACCTTCCCTCTCCCAGCAACACCAAATGTTGTCCAGCCTCGTCGCACACAACCCTAAACATCCCCTCAATATTTGATAGAAAATGACATTCTTGCTCCCAAAGTCACTGCCCTATTTGCCTACAGCCTAGTGCTTTGCATTGCATTGGTGTTAATAAAGTTAGTTTAGTACACAAACTTTGTTTAGCACAACACCCAATAAATTTGTCTTTTTTAGCGCCAAAGACGGATAATACTAAAAAGACTAAATTAACAAATTAAATAAGATAGTTACAAATGATTTAATTATTAATTCAAGATTGGGTTTGAATATGCAATTCTACTTTATTTGTTTAAATAGAGATGATATTCTAGGATCAGTTCGCTCACACATATATTCATCTTTTACAATCATTCATGATAGGAATATTAACAAAACATAGACGAGCATGGTAAGCGCTAATCCGTGTGCTCCACTTGTTTAGAGTCATGACTCCAAATTTTTTTGTCACAACAGAAAGACTTGTTTACAATGACATTCTTGCTTTCAGAGTCACTAATCAAAAAAAGAGTAATGCTAGAAAGATCAAATTTTTTAAACCAAATTTACAAACTAAATGATGTGATTATAGATAATTGAATTATTAATTAAGTATCGATTAACATATTTATTTTTTATTAATTACACATCATTTAATTTGTATTTTAGATTAAAATTTTAATTTCTTTAACATTACTGTCAAAAAAGTCAGTGCTCTTTATCGAATTGATGTTAATAAGAGTTGATTTTTCTTGTCTAGCACGAAACCCAACACATTTTGCCTTTTATTAGTGTCAAAGTCACTTAACTAAGTAGGTGTTAATTTAGGAGGAGGTTTGGGATAAGCAAAGACACGTGTTACATTGTTAGGCGTAATAAATTAATGGGGTTGCTTTTAGAAACTTAAACGAAAAACTCTCAATTAACAAAAAATCATATTTTTACACTAAAAAATCAATATTGATATTATTTATTTTATATTTTATTTTATTTTTATAGTTGAAACTAAAAATTTTCAAGTCTTTTTCGTTAATTTTCATGTTGCTTTTTAGCATGCCAAGAAATTGATGGATGGGACGTTGTCTATTGGTCTATTGGCCAATTACTTTCATTGTTCATTTATTTAATTTATTTAATATATTTTTATATTAAAGTAGTAAAGAAGTGAACTAAGTCTTCTAATGAACGAGTTATCATAATATAATTCAAATTCGTTTTTTTTTGTAAAAATCAAACTTAAAACTTTATACTTTTAATTTTTAATATCATGTGCTCCCAAGAGAAGAAAAGAAAGGAAAAAGTTGAGGAAGGATTTGCAGGATCCATTTTTGCAGGGCTTGTGCAATAAAAACATGCAGATCCCATGATCTTGTCTGCTCAATGCTCATCCACACATAGACAGAGTGGTAATGTCGTGCGGGAGAGCCCAACGTAAGAACTGCGTAAACCATGCAGCATAGCCGTTGGATTGGTGATTTGTCCTGGCGATGTGATGCAACGCGTAACAGGAAACAGAGCTGCTTTATTGGTCAATGTAAAAGAAGAGCTGCTCTTGAATAGTGTATGTGATGCGAAGTTTTGTTTTTTTTAATAGTGTATGCGATGAGAAGTTTTATACTCTACGTTAATCGGCTGTCTGTCAGGTATGTTTTCTCACCATAATTGGTGGTTCACACCAACCAACAATACTGCACTTGATGACCTTTGCCTTTGCTTCTTGAATTAGGACACTGGTTTAATTTTAAGTTGAGAATTACCCAAAAATTTAAAAAATAAAATAAAATAAAAAATTTAAGTTGAGAAATATTAAAGGAGATTCTCTCAAATTAGATTTTCTATAAATTTTTCGTCATCTCATAATTTTAGTACAATATTTTATAATGTTGTTAATGGAATTATGCCAAAAAATATAAAGTGGCTGAGAATTCATAGAGAGAATTCCACTTTTGACAAAGTCTCCTTACCATTTTTTTTTTTTTTAAGTTGGTGTTAAACGGAGGCATATGTACTCTTTGATCACAACATATAATTTTTCATTCTAGAATTTGCTATAATCTACACCAAGTAATTTATTTGAGTAACATTGTATTTTTTTTTCTCTACCACATTATAACTCATTATTTTTCCAATGTTATTAAATCAGATCAATTGATGATGTTAAAATATATATTTATGTGAGCATTATATGTGATCTCTTTTTTTTTTTTTTTATTTGTTAAACGATAGATTTTATTAGATTAGATCTTAGACTAGCCACCGACGGAGTTCGAACCAACGTCAACATGTAAGGGTTCAACACCATGGGTGGATCCGTATAGGGACCCAGGAGGTCTCGGGACCCTCCGGAAGCCCGAAGAAACACTTGTGATCGACCTTCGGGACCCTCCAACAATTTGGGCAAGTGCAGCGGATAGACTTATTGCCTCCATGGATGTGCATGCGTCAATGCTTATAACGAAGAATAAGAGGTTTCTAATTTTTATTTTAATCCTCCAAATCGTCGTAACCTCCCAACTTTAAACTCAAGTTACCCTATCCCTAGCACCATTTGCCGTTCCACCACCTCTAACTGCCTAAATTTATTTCTTCCAAATTCATTTAAGTTTTTTAGTCCTAGACTCTAGTCTCAACTCCCAATTGTAATATATATGTTACATTAACAAATTTCATCTTTGTAGAGTCATTAATTGATGCGTTATGTTGATGAGGAGAATTTGTTGGTTTTATTACCTTTGAGATGAATCTTGATTATTATTATTTTATTTTATTAAAAAGTGGGACAACTTATTTTTTTTATTAAAAAAGTGGGACAACTACTGACAAACTACTTTTTAGGGGCCTAGAAGACTCACAGAGGCATTTCAGCTTTCTCCTGGCCACAGCTAAGCAGACTCACCAGCTTGGAGCCTCAAACTCGGGACCTCCGTGTTTTTTGTATTTTAAGAGCCGAAATCCACGCCCTTACCACTGGCTCACTTGATGTGGTTGATTAATTTTGATTATTTAATGAACCAAATTCAATAAAAAATAGTGATATGGAACCAAACTAGTCTAATATATATTTATATTTTTTAACTTTTATCTTGGGAGCCCCGATCTTGAAAGCCTGAATCTGTCACTGCTCAACACCTTTCTATCATTGTGATAAAGGGCCACTGTTATCTCTTTAAAGTTATTCTTTTCACCACTCTCTTTTTTCACTTTCATTTTCTTTACTGAAACTTCCGCTTTGTTAGAAAAAATAAAATTACATCTTGAATAAAAGAAATCTCAACAAATAAAGGACTTTGTGAAAACATCGACTTTCATACCATTCTTATGTTATTCTTACATAATGCACGGAATTGTTATTTTATATTATTCTTTCAACAGTTAACGATAGCTGAATATGATAAGCAAAGATCCTTACAAACATATTATAAAGACGTGTAGGTTAATAAAAATGTTTTAAGTGAAGACCTATGTTATTATACACAAGGAATTACATATCATGTTTGTCATTTATAGTTTACAAATCAATGTTTTGTTTTTTTGGTGGGAACATACCCATGTTTGTCATGCATATATTTCTTCTTCCACGTAGCCACGGATCATTTTGGTCAACTAGGCAACTTCACGCAAGAAATACATCATTTCAAGTGATTTTGATGTATGTACGCATCAATACCTTGGGGAGAAAAAAAAAAAAAAAAAAAAAACCCTCATTCAAACCGACTTTTTTTTTCTTTGAAAAACAAACTTAATTAGATAGGAAAATCACAACTATATTCGGTCCTAATACAATCAGAGAAAAGAACATTTCTAGTAGTAGATAAAATATGAGCCTATACATGAATATGTTGAATTGTAAGTCTAATAAGAACATTGACGGAAAAATTGGTTTGTCGATATATAATTTGAAACGAAGTTGCCACAACCATGATATATCTTCTTCAACCATAGCCCTTAATCTCAAACCTACTTTTTTGTTTTTTTTTGGTTTTGATCAAACAATAAATTTTTAGATTATATGTTATATTAAAGCCGACAAGATTCGAACTCACTTGGCGTAAAAGATAACACTCATCTCCATCATTGTGGTAAATGACCACTTGCCAAACCTACTATTTTTAGATGTGCGAATTTTTATTTCCGTTTTATTTGTGCATCATTAGATCTTTAATAATACAATTTTGAAAGAAAACTGTTATTAGCACTCTAAAAATATCATTATTCACTCCTCATAAATGTATTTTTTTTTCTAATTATAAAAAATTTGGAATGCCAAATGAGAATTTAGGAGTGCTAATAACAATTCTCTTTTGAAATATTTAATACAATTCAATCCATATAGTGGGTTGGCTTCTCGATATATAATATGAAAAGAAGTCGCCAACCATGATATATTCTACCATAGCCTTCATTCTCAAACCTATTTTTTTAGATGTATGAATTTTTATATTTGTTTTCTTCTATGCGGAGTCATTTGGATGTACTTTTATAATAATTGAAAGCGTTTTTAAAGAAAATATTTTCAAGTTCCAAAACCATTTGAAATGCTTTTTACAAAAAAAAAAAAAACACATAACTTGTGCTTCTTTCAAAAAACACTTCAAGGGTTTTTTCAAGATTAACTAGCAT